ATGTACTTTTGCATTATAAATTTTGAATTTCATTGTTTAAAGTTTTTTTTCCTAAAGATGACTTCAGATTACTTTTGAAAAATTATTGTAGGACTGTGAAATTACATTTCATAACAACAAAGCCAGCACTGCTTTTTATAGTGGTTCGGGTGTTCTAAGAGACTTTCTCTGGAAATGGTTTATGTTTATTTGACCCCATCAGTGTGTTTAAAAGGAGGTGATGCTCAAAAGTAGCTGCTCCTCCTAGGTTTATTCTCATTCATTGGAATTCTCTTCTGGTAGAAATAGTATATATGGGTTATAGTTGGTGCTTTGTTTTTGCTGTTTAGTTTTAAAAGAAAGATTTAAAAGATTCAGTCTGTAGATATTTATCTACCAGTTTAACTCCTTAGAAAGTGAAAGTGTTTTGACTTTGTTACCTTGATAATGAAACTCTGAGGATTATTACTTTTGCCCAACTCAGGTGTTGGAGTAAGAGGAAATGAAAACCTTGCTTGCTAAACAGCATTCTAATGATGCAAATATTCTTTCCAAATTTGTTGATGTGGTTTTTACAGAAGATACACCTGCAAATTTGAAGGACACAACTAATATTATGCCTTAGGCCTTACCTGTTTGCAAGTAGTTGGACCAAATCAAATGCTGTGGACTTTTCTTGAATAGCTTGTAGAAGGAAAGTTTTTATTTGCTCCTTAGCAGTAAACTTCAGGTTTATTAATCATAAAAGTCATAACTTAGCCATGCATAGCAACAAATCATCCAATAATTCAATAAAGGGCATCTTGTGTTTCTTAGAATGTTGTAATCAGATAAACAATTTGTAATTAAGTAAAAATGAAATCTGACCTTTCTCCTTGAGATGAAATAACACTAACTATGTGAAGAAAAGATTTATGATTCAAATGAGTCTAAATAAAATTTAAGGGAAAGGAACTATGCTTCTTTGGGGGACTATCATCTTTTCTCCTTGTCAGCACAGATTTAACAAAATACCCGATGAATCACAACACAGGAATTTCAATTATGCATTCATATGAGATTCCAATGTGACATGCTGCTATGCAGAGTAGATATTTGGTGCAATCCATCATCTATTAGAATGCCGTCAGTGTAATGCTGAGATTTCAGAGTGTAGTACAGGACCCTGTACTGAGATGCAGCATAAATAAGCAATTGCATTGACAAAGTAAGTACTCTTACTTCTTCGCAACAACCACCAAAAATGAATTGTAACTTAGTGCCACAGTGCTCTGTCCTCAGTGTCTGTCCACATGAGTAATAGTAAAGTACAAACAGAAATGCTCTTGCTGCATTAAGTGGGGTTTGACAACTTTCCAGGGGACTCACAGGAGTCCCACAGTCTGATAACTAATAAAGAACTATTTTCTTGCAGACACACCAGAATGATAATTATAAGCCAGACAAGGAAACTTTTATCTCCTTCTTTATGTCTAAAAAGTCTCAGAATCTTTTTCTAAATATACAGAAAAAAGTACATTGCATGCGACCTGAAAATTAAATCTCCAAAGAAGTGAATTTAAATGGCCAACTTCAGCTATTGCTTACATTTTCTGTTCCGTTATGCCTGTACTATGTTTTCCCTTCTTAGCATTGCTTCATTTCTCTCTTATGATAGCTACCCCTGCAGCTGACCCATTCACTCAGTGATGAAGACCAGAGACACTGTCATCTACTTTAAGACTTTCCTGAAAAAAGTCCTTCTTTTCTCCTTGGATACAAACCTGGTTTGGATCTTTGAGTTAAGCCTGGGAGAGAACATGGAGGGCTTCTGGCTCAGTGTGAACTCACAGTAGTGGGGAAACACATGTCTAGGCACTGGATGTTACATATGAGATTCTCTTAACACAATGGAAGAGAAAATGTGAGCGAGGAGAAAAGTTGCAAGCAAGTCAGAATTTTGGACATCATAGAGATATGTAGATACTGACAGCTTGAATTTATTTGTCAAATTGGCTGCAGTCTCTCCCATAAAGGAGATACCTGTGGACACTGTTTTTAGTATTAGTCATTGAGTGATTCAGTAAGTCAATGAAATAAGTACCAGTCTAGCAATTTGTCTTATTTTTAGTCACAGAGGCTATCTCTACCAAACTCATTAGTAAAGTAAGATAAATGGTAAGAAAGTGGTAGAATCAGATGAGTGTTATTTAGTCTAAAATTTCTTCCTCTACAACACTCATCTGACATAATTGGATTTTTCTAAAGCATGATGCAAAGTGTAGTCATATAACTCAATAATAGTAATAGTAATTTATTGTTTGCTATTTGGCAGGTACTATTCTAAGTGCTTTAGTGCCTTATTTCATTTAATGAACAAAATGAATAATCATTAAGGTATTATCATATCCATATTACAGATGAAGGAGTTATAGCTCAGAATGTTTAAGGAAATGGCCAAAAGTCATACAGCTGAAAGGGTTTGCTATGCCAAGACTCTAACCAAGAACCCATGCAATTAATCTTCTAGTCATTTATTCATTTTTTTTTCACAACCAGGTATTCTGTTTCTTGGCCTCAGATTACTTATATATTTCTGTACTTTAGTACCATGGAGTGATTAACTGAACCCCCACTTTGATGATGAAACTGGACCAGTTGGGTAAGATTATTTGTGGGATACAACCAGAAAGACTGTTAGAGGGCAAAGATTGATGGCACAAAGTCTGTGTTTCCATGACATTGTTTAGACAATTGTTCCACTTTAAAAACAACAAGTTTCTGGGTGGCCCATCAACTCCCTTTTCCAGGAATCTTCCCCAGCCACAAACTTTACATTTTAAAGCTAGTGACCTCTAGCTTTAAATTCAACCACAATGCACCATCTAGTTATGGGAAGTGATAAGATAACAGAGAACAGGGCCTCCCTGGTGGCCTAGGGGTTAAGTCTCAGTGCAACTGCTGCTGCAGCCTGAGTTCGATCCCCAGCCAGGAAGCTAACACACATATTGGCAGACCTCTCCTGTCTCGCCTGCTACTCCCCTTAGTGGCGCATTTCTGTAAATCTGCCTGCTGCCTGTTTTGCTCCCTACTCTATCTCTGGTGAACCCTCTCACCCCCCACACCTCTGGCCTATACCCCAGTTCTTGTATGCATAAATAAAAATAAATCTTTAAAAAACAAAAGATATCAGAGAAAAGTAGCTATAGCAAGGAAGATCTAAGTGGACAGATTCACACACACACACAAGCACACATGCACACACTATTTCTAAAGAAAGACGTGAAAAAAAATATATAGAGAAAGGGGCTGAAGCTGTGCTGGGGTGGAGGAGGAAGTAATGAAAAAGGCTTGCTAATTTACTGAATGACAGTGGAGTTAAAAATGCTTGCAGACCTTTTCCCTTCTACATACATCTAGATATACTGCAGAATCTTATCCTGACATCTGGCAAAATATTCAGATTTTCCCAGATGTGCATTCCTTTTGGCCACAATGAGATGGTGCTTAACCTCAGTACAAGGAATAAGCTAGCATTAGTGTTCTATAGATGAACACATTATTTTTTTTAGAAGGTAGCTGTTTCCTTCTAGAAAGTCTCCTCTTAAAACTTGGCAAGACGTCTTCTCTTTTCCTGTGTTGGCTCAGTCTGTTCTATACATTGGTTTGGCAGCAACGAGTTCTACCTTATGACTTGGACAGAAAAATAGAGCCTGGATTTGTTGCACATTGGTATGATTTATAAAACATAGACCAGATGAACTCAGAAAGCCCCCTAGGTGTGTAAATAATAGTAAATAGAGGGATTTGCAAAATAGAGTCTAAAGTTCTGCTATAGTCAGCTACATATATTTTGTTCTTTAAATAAAAAACAAACTGTCAAAACATAGGAGCAACATGGAATGTTCATTTTTTTTAAATGGATAAAACTCAAATATGAAAACCAGGTGCTGTGATCGTCTGAGTCCAGGAAATGGATGCCTCTGTAGTTAGCTATCTGGTGTGCTACCTTATTTGCATTTAACTTTTCAAAGGGTGAAACTGTAGCAATGCCTCTTCCTTGTACATCTAATATATTCAATAATAAGAATAATCATCATAATGTACAGCATGTCATTGAAAATTTATTTCCACATATGTGCTCTCATTTGACCCTCCCCAAAGTATTGTTAAGTATAGTGATGAGAAAGGAAACAAAGACATTGAAGAGAGCAGAACCAGGGCAGTATACCAGAGACCTGGTGATACAACTTTCAGCCAGTGCTCTATGCCATCCATCTCCTCCTTATGAGTGTATTGTCACTGAAATCTCTATACATTATATTTCTATAGGTTAGAAAATCTGGAAGACCTACACTAAGATAAATAGAATCCTTAGACTTCAGCTTAAGATGGACCATGTAATCACTTTTATTTTGGACTTATGCAATATTATGCCAAAAGTGGGAAATCTAGCAAGTAGAAAATAGAGCTTGAATATTTTTGGGAAAAATCTACTAAAGAGGAGAATGGCTCTAGTTCATCACCATTAAAAACTAGCCACCTAGCTATGTACCTATAGATCACCAACCATGAATAGCCAACTAATTACATCTGTCAAATGTATTGCTTTGAGTCAACAAATCTATGATACTCAAAATTATCACAAACCACACCAAAATGAATCTGAAGAAAACAAAGCAAATCACAAGAAGGAAAACAGAAAGACTCTTTTTATAATAGATTTAATTGTCCAGAGTTCTGAGTTCCTGCATACATAGAAATTCCACATTTATAAAAAATGGTACATACCAACTTGGGAATTTGACTGCTATTTCTTCCACTAAAGTTTGTTCTCTCTCTCTCTCTCTCATCTCTAGCTCTAGCTCTAGCTAATGTACATGCTTTTGTAGAATTTCAGGAGCAGCTTGTTATCTGGAAAGTATGGCTGCCTGAAAGAGGTACGGAATATAACAAAGCTATACCCCAAAGCTTCTATGCATTACAAAAGCTTGCACTTGGATAATAGAAATATTGAGCCTCAGGTGACTGAGAACACTTACTGTTGGTTGCATAACGTATGGCGGATGAGGCATCCAGGAAGTGCTCTGGACCTATGCATCAAACAGCATTTATTAGCACAAAGCAATCACAGAGAGAACTTGGTTCTTGCGTTCAGTGGAGTCACACTAGGTTATAAGAAAGTGGAGTCCATCTGACTTTACAGCTAATGAGTGCTCAAAATTGAAGCTACAAAGGGAATTCTTGGACCTGATTAATTTGGTCCCTTAAACATGGTAAAATGTAAAGCAACTTTCTACTTCACTGGGAGCTGGCTTCAGTGTCCACATGGACCAGACTGAGCCATGGAGCACATTTTGAGGCCTATGTTGGTGACTAAAGTCTCAGGAGGCCTCAGAAACCTCCTACTTAGAGACTGACTCACAGGGGTGCCCTGGCAAGTACTGAAGGAGTCAGGCTGACTGCTAAGACTTCCTCTTTTCTGTCTTTGCTTCTCAAGTGATCCCATCTTGGAAATCAGTGCAAATGGTAAAAGTTGGGGTTAGGGTTAAAGAGATCAAAAAGAAATTTTGGAGAACGCTTGGGTTAAACCCAAGTTAAGCAAGTTTGTAACATTTTTCTCTCATGGTAATTGGTATGGCAAATAAAAATGAGTCACTGAGCCAGCCAAGTGTTATAAAACGGGCTCTGTATCAGCCCAAAGGGAATGTCAGCTTGTAAGAGCAGACCGTCACATAGAGAACCTTGAAGATTTTCTTTTCAGTATATCCTCTCCCATGAAATTGCCGATGCACATTAGATTAAAAAAAAACAAAAGTTGTAAACGGCGAGACTCAACAACATAGGAAATTGTTCTAATTCATTTTTTTGAGAAGAGGGAATTGGAGTTAAATTACACTTATGAGCCCTCCCAAGTGAAATCACATTTCTGTGGATATTTTACACATGTCATCAAAGTGCACTACACTGGGGCTCAATGGGTGGTCTTGGCTGAAACGTAGACCGAGATTAAAAAAAAGGGCAAAACCCCCCAAAACACACATTATAACCAGGCAGGTCTGCAGGAAGAAGGAAAACCGAACAGCACCTGCACATAGACTCATGGGTCCCGAGGAAAGGTAATTAAGAGATCAGCCATTCTGAGACACTCTAATGCAATTCATACCAAAGTCTATTCCACTCACACCAAAATATATCAAGAATCTCAGTGCAGAAAAAGAATGAAAATGGTTTGCTTCAGGGGGAGTCAATTAAGGAAAAAATGCACATTGTCTCAAGTTTGATGCTCTGACAGCTAGGACATCCTGAAATGAAGTATGTAGTGGCTGAATAAGGTGAAACTTCATTGAATGAGTTGCCATCAGCAACATTACAGTTTTATCCATTGTAGACCATCCACCCCCACTATCCAAAAAATATAGAGGAACTCACACACACACACTTGCACTCTCTCTCACTCTCACTTTCTTTCTTCAAAGTTTAAAATAATGACACTAGCCACACTAAGCAGTTAGGGGCATTTTCTAATTAAAATTAGAAGATATGTCAGAAGAACAATGCAAGGTAAAGAGAAGCAGGGAGTCATACCGCATATTTGATAACTCAAAGCCATAAGAGATGGAGTATTTTCTGAGGGAGAAGTATGACTATTTCAATCCACCTGTGCACTTAGAATTAACTGGCAACAATCTCTGGTTTAGGATACACGTGGAGTCTCAGGTTTTTTTATGTTTCAATACATGGGACCCTGAGGTCTCTTTCGGCCTCTTTGGAACTGAGGATGAAGTAAAAGCAGGAAGGAGGAACACCTTTTACCACTTTGATAGTCTTCCCCATTTCTTAGAAGAAATGAATTAACATCTATCCATGTAGCTTTCCATGGATACACAGGACAGCAGTGACAAAATGAGATGACAATGATAAAGTATCCTGAAGTGAGTGAAGGAATGCTAGAAATGTGTTTTGGGGGAAAAGGCACAATAGGGAATGTGACAACCAATATAACAGACAACAAATAAAATCATTTCTCAGTGGTAAGAAAGCTGGACTAATGTTGGCTGGCAAGTTGCATGATCATGAAAACTCAGCAGGAAGAATGAAAAGCATGGTGGGTTTTGTTATTCAGTGAAATAGATGCAAACACATCCTTGCAAGTGTAAGCTAATTGATCACTTGAGTATTATGGATTAAGATGTAACTAAAGTTAAGAGGACAACTTAAAAAAAATCATCTGTGTCCCTTTTGCTTTTATAGAGTCTATTGCTGGCAAGAAAGTGCTCTCCTGAGGTTCAGGTAAATCGGACATACCTGGTATGTGGAGACAGGGGAAGCAGCAATGAATGGCGTGATAGATGTCTGTGGAATCATGCGGTTGGTTGCAATACTGTACGGTGAAGAATAAAATCTGCAAACAGAAAACAAAAAAAGAAGATTCATGAAGCTGTTGGATGCCTGGCTGCTAATCAAATGCTCCCAAGCATCTCTGGGAAACACAGAGTTCCCCCTTCCTGTTTTTCCACCAACTGTTAACAGGAACATCCAGCAGATTTATAGTATTTGATTCCACTAAGAGAAATAAATCGTTCTGAACAAAATGACAGCTTTGAGTCATCTTATAAAACTGGCTGAACAAAATTCCGTTTATGCCAGGTGAGTGTGATAGTATGTTTAACCAACAGGGGGAGAAAAGCTATGGGTCTTGTATTTTTAAACCTCTTTGCAGGAAAGGCAACATGATTGAACTAAGCTATATAAAGGTAACTGCACATACACAAACTGCATCTAGTTCCTCCTTGAGGAAATAGGGTCAGTTTCTAGAGAGTTCTACATAATTTATATTAGACATGTGCACATGCCCTTCTGTAAAAACTAAGCTAAATATTTCTTCCATGAAAAGAGAGGAAATTGGACAATTTGTGCATAGCTGGAAATAGGAATTTTTCTGCATTCAAGCAAGGCATTGGTGGAAATTCTGGACCTGTTGAATAGATTCCAGTGGACTCTAAAAACACTGAATTTTCCAGTCCTACAGGCCCTTTCATTAAACAATTATAGAATGATACTGGCAAGCCCGGGGCAAGACAAGAGTTACATGATTCAGAAGGATGATCGTTCTAGAAATCTATTAGTTTCTAGGCAATGAATCAGAGACACACCCATCTTTACTCAGACTATAGCTTAGAGTCTACCAGTTGCCTGATAGTCAAACTATTCAGTAAAATTTTACATTAGGTTTCCTCCTTCACGTCTTAATGGTGAGTGAAAATCAAGAGTGGCCAATCACAGTAGACTATGTCACTGACCCAAGGATAGACTGGGGACACCACACCAGGGATAACAGTCATTATTTCACTTTGTAGTACTCTTAGCAAAAGTCAATTCCTAATTTCAACTTAAAAAAAAAAACAGGTTGCAATTTTAGCTTTTATTAAAAACAATATGACTGGGGTTGTAATTTGGGGGACAGAAATCTTCATTATCTTTTATGGGGTACTGATATTTTATTTTATTTTTTATAAAGATTTTTTTCTTTATGCATACAAGAGCTGGGGTACAGGCCAGAAGCACAGGGTTGGGGGGCAGTGAGAGGATTCACCAGAGACAGAGTGGGGAACAGAACAAGCAGACTGACCAAAGTACACTGCTGAGGGGAGCAGCGGGTGAGTCAGGAGAGGTCTGCTGCGCCATGTGGGTTGCTCCCTGGCTGGCCGGGAATCAACCTTGCGCTGCAGTGGCTGCAGATTGCTTCATAGGTTGCGTCTTAACCATTGTGCCACCAGGGAGGCCTGGGTTTCTGATATTTTTGATATTTTTTTTTGTTGTTGTTGTTGTTTATACATGCATTGCGTACAGAGAATCTCACGCCTTATCTTACTAAATGAGCATTCCATAAGATTTCCATTGTATAAGGGTAGAATTTCAAGGTCTCCAGGATTAAAAGAGTAAATTCTTTATCTTAGCTTCTATAAAAGATAGGATCAGGAAATTATAGTCTCTAATTCATTTAACTCTCATGTTATAAGATCATATTCTATTGGTCAAAAAATGTTAGAGAAAAAAATGACTCCATTACATATCACACCGTTATTAACCATGAGGATCTCTATATTAATAGTTGTACAGTCTTTTTAAAAAGGAATCATTACACACCTATTAGCATGGCAATTTTTTTTAACAAATGAAAATATTAGTGCTGGCAAGGCTTTAGAGAAAGTAGAATTCTCATTCATTGTTGGTGGAAATGCAGAATGGTACAGCTACTTTGTTAAACAACTTGAAATTTTCTTATAAAGGTAAACACACATGTACTATGTAATCCAATGGTCTCTCTGATAGATAATAAATGGAGATAAATTAAATTTATTTTCACACAAAAGCTTTAATGCATTGTTTATAGTAACTTTAATGATACTTGCCTCAAACTGGAAACAAGGCAAACACTCTTCAACTAAATTGATAAACCAATTGAGGTATGCCAATACATTGGCAAAGTACTTAACAATAAAAAGGGAAGAACTGATATATTTAACATGACAAATTTTAAGATATTGTGCTAAATGAAAGAATTCATATTTAAAACACGATATACTTTGTAATTCCATTCATATTACAATGCAGAAAAGGCAAAACTATAAGTAGAAAATAGAACAGTACATGCCAAAGGCTTGGGGTTGGGCTAAGGGAATCACTACAAGGGGACATAAGGAAATTTGGGGAAATAATGCAACTGGTTTATATCTTGATTGTTGCCCTCATGCCATGACTGTGCTTGTCAAAATCCAGACCAATATACTACACTGAAAAGAGTAAATATAAACTTCATGTAAATTATACCTAATAAACCTGAGTCTTAGAAAGTGAGTTACTATTAAGAAAAATAATCCATCATTCCACTTTAAAATAATTATTTAGATGTGTGCAGAGAAAAGAGGGTAAGACTCCAAAACATCCCTTAGAGTTTCTCTATTTAGGCACCTAAATGGTATCTTATTTGTACATTAATCAACATAAAACCTTCTAATGGTTTTCCATTGCAGTGAGAGCAAAATTGGAGCTTGTGGTATTGGTTAGTACACTCAGGGTTCTGCCTAACCCTCTAATAGTTTTCCTGACCTTCTTCCTCCATCCAACAAGGGTTCAGAGACACTGACCTTGTTCTTTCAATGATCCTGTTGTTCTCACTCTCATATTGGTCCACTGAATTTATAATTTTCTCTACTTAGTGTGTTCATTCCTCCAGTGTCCATCAAGCTACCTCTTTCTTATTATTGGTCTCACTCAGCTTTTACTTCTTCAGAGCAAAAATATAATAGCAACCACCATCTCTGGCACCAATTGTTCTCTATTCCCTTACTCTAATTTATTATTTGTTCATTGCTGTCATTACTATTTGAAGTTGCATTTCTTTAAAGATTTATTTTTATACAAGAGCTGGGGTACAGGCCAGAGGTGTGGGAGGGTGAGAGGATTCACCAGAGACAAAGCAGGGAGCAGAACAGGCAGAAGGACCGAAGACACTGCTGAGGGGAGCAGCGGGCGAGGCAAGAGAGGTCTAATGTGCCATGTGGGAATCTCCCTGGCCAGCAGGGAATCGAACTCCCATTGCAGAGGCTGGGCACAGCTTCACAGCGCATACTCAACCCACTGCACCACCGGGGAGGCACTCGAAGTAGCATTTTTTAAAAAAAATCTTGATGTAAGTGTATGTTTTATACTGAATTTTGTTTGAATCTCTCCAATATCCGCATGTTCAAATACTAACTCCTAGTGTGTATGTATTTGGAGATAGAGCATCTAAGGGAGAAATTTAGGTTAGCTGAGGTCATAAGGGTGGAGTCCTGATCTGATAGGATTAGTGTCCCTATATGGAGGGAAGGGTTAGAGGACGCCCCCAAGTCCTATCTACACTCACACACTAAGTAAACGCCATGCGAGGGCCTCCCCTGGTGGCGCAGCAGTTGAGCACTGGGTTGCTAGGCTTCCTGCAGCCTCTGCAGCACTGGTTCAATCCCCGGCTTCCGGCGAGGGTCCCCCATGGCGCGCAGACCTCTCCTGCCGCCTGCTGCTCCCCTCAGTAGTGTACTTTATCAGTCTGCCTGTTCTGTTCCCCGCTCCGGCTCTGGTGAATTCTCTCACCCTCCTGCGCTTCTGACTGTACCCAGTGCTTGTATAAATAAATAAATCTTAAAAAAAAAGAAACCATTAAAAAAAAAAAAAGTCATGCGAGCACTTGGTGAAGAGGCAGCTGTCTGCAAGCCCAATCTTATAAGAAAATAAGTTGTCCAGACCTTGATCTTTGACTTCTAGCCTCCAGGGCCATAAGAAAATATGTTTTTCTTGCTTAAAGTCAACTAATCAATGGTATTTACTCATGACAGCTGAGTGGGCTTATACAATGTATTTATGGAATATTTCTTCTTCTTGAATATTAGATTCAAGAAAGTTGGGCCTCCCCTGGTGTCACAGCAGCTGAGCGCTGGGTTGTGAAGCTGCCCACAGCCTCTGCAATGCCGGTTCGATTCCCAGCCACTGGAGAGGGTTCCACATGGTGTGACAGACCTCTCCTGCTGTTCCCGCTGCTCCCCCCAGCAATGTATTTCATCAGTCTGCCTGTTCTGTTTCCCGCTCTGGCTCTGGTGAATTCTCTCACCCTCCGTGCTTCTGACTGTACCCAGTGCTTGTTTAAATAAATAAATAAATCTTTAAAAAAAAAAAAGTTGAAGACACATTGGCTTTATTGCTTAGAAGGGTGCTACAAGATGGTAGATACTTCATAACTATAGGTTGAATGAGTGAAGGCTGAGAGCAGAGCAGCAGCTTAGGACATGGTTACAGAACAGTATGGTCAATGTCAAGAGAGCAGACGCATACAAGGTGGGCCCTGAGTCTGCAGAAGCTGAGAAGCAGGAGCTCAGAGAGGTAAGCCAACAATGCATAATCTGCACATGCTCAGTGGAAGTTACATCCCTGCTTACTAAGCAGGCAAAGATATCAGCTGCTAGGGGAACAGTCCTTTTCTATAAAAACCAAGGTTTGTATTTTAAAATTCCCCATAGGTCTTATCTTTTACAGATCTGTTTTATGAGTCAGTGAACAGGAAGACTTATTTGGGGCTGATAATGACACAAGAGGTACCCATCACCATTCCATAAACAGTCCACTTCCACCATGCAGTGGTTAACCCTGTCAGAAACCCAGGATCAGCTCTTATGCCAACAGAGGGAATCCACGTCACATTGAAGTATGGCTGGTTTATCTTGTAAAATGCAGCGATTGGAGAATTAAAAATGAAAGCAATAAGAATTGGATTGACAGGCAGAGTTTACAGGGGATTCTATGGGGAAAACAGAGAGCAGAAATACAAAGAATCTAGCCAAGTAAACTGATAGTAACAAAGGGAACCCT